GGCGTGCCTGTGGTTCACACTCACAGCGGCTGAGTGAGGGGTGGAGAACCGCTCCACCGCCCCTGGCGCACCCGCACCCCATCCAGAGGGACCCGCAACTGCCCCGCTGCACACGTGGTCCGGGCGTGGGGGTGCACCCTGGGGGTGGGTCATTCCTTCCGGAAATCCATCAGGCCCTGCCCCCCAGGCTCTCAGGCATCAGTGTTCCTCAGGACGGGTGGGCAGAGGGCTGTGTGGGTCTGACTGCCTGTGTCACTGTGCTCCGTGTTTCTGGAAGGTTCTTCAGACCCCAAGTTTCCCCAGAAACTTGTAGTAATTCATGGCTCTTTGCAGTCTAACACCTGTGTGTGTGTGTGTGTGTGTGTGTGTGTGTGCGCGTGAGCATGTGTGCATGAGCATATGTGTGTGTGTGAGCGTGTGTGTGAGCATGTGAACGTGTGTGTGAACGTATGTGTGTGTGTGAGTGCGTGTATGTGTGAACGTGTGTGAGTGCTTGTGTGTGTGAATGTGTGTGTGTTTGTGTGTGACTGCATGTGTATGTGCGTGTGTGTTTGTGTGAGCGTGTGTGTGCGTGTGTGTGACTGCATGTGTATGAGTGTGTGTGTTTGTGTGTGACTGCATGTGTGTGCGTATGCGTGTGTCTGAGTGTGTGTGTGTGTGCGCGCGTGAGCGCTGGCGCAGTCCATTCCCGCCCTGGGTTGTGACTCCCCACGGTCCTGCCTGGAAACCAGCGCTGAGCAGAGCTGCCCCAGCTCACCTCGCCTCACCTCCCCCCTCGCTTCCTCTGCGGTGGCTGTTCAGGTGCAGTCAGCTGGAAAGAGCAGGGCTGGGAAGCCAAGCGCCCGGCGTCCAGCTCCACCCTCCGACTGGACTGGCTGTCCAGCCCTGGGCAGTTTCTCGTTCACTCTGGGCCTCGGTTTTCCTGGAAGGAGGAGCCTTGCCTGCCCTTCCCTCCATCCTCAGAGACCTCGGGAGGGCAGAGGGCTCCGAGGGAGCTGCCGGCCCCTCTGGGTGTGGCTCTTGGCCCTGGAAGGGTTTCCTGGCAAACGAAGACAGCACCTCTCCTTCCTGCTGACTCAGGCGGGACCACAGCTCACTTGGGTACCCAGCACCCCACGGCTCAAGGGGCTAGTGCTCCCCCTGTCTCCTCCTTGCTTTCCTTCCCATGGTGCTTTCCTCCCCTGAGCGTCCCCCCCCTCAACCCCATTGAGGGATGCTCTATTGGCCACCACACCTTCCAGGCTCTTCCACCAACAGTGCCCTCCTCACCCCCTTTTCATCAACGGTAGGGCTCCTTTTCTCCGCATTCAGCACTCCTGCCTTGCCTACTTCCTTCCCCTCAAGGGCAGAACATTTCCTGTGTCGCCTGCCACGCAAATTCCGGTGCCACATGGAGTCACACAGCCACACCTCCAGCTCTCTCATCTGTGAAGTCTTTTGGCACCTGTCTTGGCCCTCAGTGGTCTGCCCCCATTACCTACTGCTGTGTAACAAACCACGCCCCCACTGGAGAGGTTCAAAACCACCACCACTTTACTATGGCCCACCATTGCGGGGCCAGGAATGTAGAAATGGCTTGGCTGGACAATCCTGCTCCTCATGTGATGCTGATGACAGTCATTCAGTGGGCCTCAGCTGGGGAAGGGCGGGCTGGAGGGTCTAAGACACCTCACTTTTATGTCAGGTATCCCCACTGACTCCCCCCAGAGCGAGTGTTCCCAGAGGCCCGGAGAGAAGCTGCTAGGCTGAGCCCAGCAGATCCACCACGGATTTACAGGCGACCTCTCCAGCGTGTGGTCTCAAGGGGAGGCATTCTGGTCGACAGCCCCAGCTGAGCCAGCCACGTTTAGGAAGAGGGACTTAGATCCATTCCCAATGGAGACTAGCAAAGACTTCCAAGCCATCTTTTATCTACCACACCACCTTTCAGTGGGCTGAGCTGAGGCCCCTCTTTTTGCCCTTGCAGGTGAGCGGTTACTTTTAACTCCCTGGTAACCTTGTCTTTCCTGGAGAGGCTGTGTGTACGTGTACTCTCCCAGGGAGGGAGGAGAGAGACATCTCAGCCAGGTGCTGCCAGCAGAGGCTGTACCCTGCAGATGTTTAACAAAGACAGCAGGAGAGGCCCCCAGAAGATGGAACGGGGGTTCCAGCTGATACCCATGAGCTGTCCTCTAAGCCAGTGGTTCTCAACCTTCTGGCCCTTTAAATACAGTTCCTCATGTTGTGACCCAACCATAAAATTATTTTCGTTGCTACTTCATAACTGTAATGTTGCTACTGTTATGAATCGTAATGTAAATATCTGATATGCAGGATGGTCTTAGGCGACCCCTGTGAAAGGGTCATTCGACCACCAAAGGGGTCGCGACCCACAGGTTGAGAACCGCTGCTCTAAACACTAGGTACAACCCTGTGACTATGAAATCCTGGCTCAGATCTTGTTAGGGCGCAGTGATGTGGGACCCCAGACAGAGGAAGTAAATAGCACCTGGTCAGAGTGGGCAAGGCGGGTGCAGCCTTAATGATGGCAGTGCTCATGCACGGCTCTTGGTTGCTGCAGGTGTGAAGTTAGCAGACTGAAATCAGCCGAAACCTTGTGATTTGCACCTGCTTCAGCAGCAGAGGGCTGTATGGCACCAAGGTCAGTGCATAGGTCCTGGGGTCATACCGCTGCTGCGTTCAAACCCTTGATCCACCACTTGCTATTGTGCAACCCCAACGAAGTTGCTGCATGTCCCCGAACCTCAGGTTCCTTCTCTTTATGGTAGAACAGGAAATAGCACCGATCTCATGGTGGTGTTGCAAGGATTTAATGAGATATCAAAGATTAGCAGCTGTCGTTACTGTCAACATTGTCCTCAATCATTAGGCCCCAACTAGGAGGAGAGGGAAAGAAGAAGAAAGAGGAAAAACTTCAGGAAAACTAATAATTACAGAAAGAAGCACCATTAATTAAAACATAAATAAAAATAAGTTATGACTACTTAAGTTGTACTGCAGTACAAGTTCATTTACAGAATGCCTTCACACACTTCAGCACCTTACTTAAACACGTGCTTTATTTTGGCAAAGTTATATACATACACGGTTTTAAAAGTTTGGTAGTCTTCCTCTCCGCTCCTCTGGTCCCACTTCCCAGAGGCAGCCACAGTGAACGCTTCAGGGACATCAGTCTCCATGTTTCTAAGTATCATGCTTATCCAGACTTTTATTTTTTGTAGATTTAGATATTATCTATTGGTTTCCTAGTTCAAGAAATGAAATTTTAGCTACCACTCCCTCCCCAACATACAGATATACTTGCCCTCTGTCCAGCCTTCTAATAGAATTTTATCTTTTTGGTTGGACTAATACTTAGTCTTTTTTTAAAAAATATATTTTATTGATTTTTTACAGAGAGGAAGGGAGAAGGATAGAGAGTTAGAAACGTTGATGAGAGAGAAACATCGATCAGCTGCCTCCTGCATACCTCCTACTGGGGATGTGCCCGCAACCAAGGTACATGCCTTTGACCGGAATCAAACCTGGGACCTTTCAGTCTGCAGGTCGACGCTCTATCCACTGAGCCAAACCGGTTAGGGCTAATACTTAGTCTTGACATCATGACCATATAATCCATTCTTCACAACTGAGCCATGTAGTGTGTACTATGAGCACATTTCCTTTCTTGTACAACTTTCCATTTTCCCTGGGGTTAATAATGGATTTTTGGTTGCTTAGTTGCTTTATAGGGTTTGAGAACCATTGGGTTGAAGGAAGCATAGCAAATTTACATCTTACATGGGAAGTAAATGGACAAGATACCTAAAAGACCTCCAGAGAGCCCAATATTAGAGCGGACAGGCACAGAGTTGAGGGCTAGTTATGAGACAAATGGGGTAACTGTGGAACTGGGTGGCAGGAGATAGAGAGGAGGCAGGGATTTCAACTCCATGAATGATTTCAGAAGATGTGGCATGTGCCACATGTAGGGAGAGATTGGCAAAGGCCTGAGGCTCCAGCCTGCATTTAGTAGGAACATCTTTGACGTCATTGTTTTCAGTGGTTCTCAACCTTCTGGCCCTTTAAATACAGTTCCTCATGTTGTGACCCAACCATAAAATTATTTTCGTTGCTACTTCATAATGTAATGTTGCCACTGTTATGAATCGTAATGTAAATATCTGATATGCAGGATGGTCATAGGCGACCCCAGTGAAAGGGTCGTTCGACCGCCAAAGGGGTCGCAACCCACAGGTTGAGAACCGCTGTTTTAGGTACACAAGGAGCAAGGACACAGCCAGCGTTAGGGTGAGGCCAACACCATAGGAACAGAAATCTTTCTGCATAAATCACTTGGCCCTTAACCACCCCATCTCCTGGGAAACTGGAAACCACTCTCAAACCAAATCTAGCAGAGTAAAATTATGGGAAAGGTCTATTTTATCCAGGACTAAACAGTTTGAGTAGATGTCAACACATAAACAATTGTTGACGGTTTCTAACGTAAATCCTAGTCCTGGCCCAATATATGCACCCTCCGTATGGGTAAGGAAAAGTCACCAGACACATGAACAATTTTAGCAGCTCTAAAGGGATCCACTCAGAGAAAAGAGAAGATGAATGCCCCCTATGAAACAAATTAACTACATTAAACATGATTTTTTAAATATATTTTTATTGATTTCAGAGAGGAAGGGAGAGAAAGAGAGAGATAGAAACGTCAATGATAAGAGAGAATCATGGATTGACTGCCTTCTGCCCGCCCCACACTGAGAATTGAATCCGCAACCTGGCTACGTGCGCCGACTAGGAATCGAAGGGTGACTTCCTGGTTCATAGGTTGACACTCAACCACTGAGCCATGCTGGCTGGGCTAAACATGATTTTAAAAAGGAAATATTTTACATTTATGTTCCCAATGAAATGAGGAGGAACCTGAAATCAAGATCCAGCAGTAGTTGAATCTATCTTTTGGGTTTTTTTTTTTTTTTTTTTTTTTTTTTTATATGGGACGGGACTCACTGAAGCTTCTGGCTGGGCCTGCTGTTGATGGGATCAAAGTCAATGACAATCTTGCTGCACTTGGGTGTGAATTTCCTGAAGGCGACCCCAGCCATATCAAACATGAGCCTGGCGGCGGTGGACTCCTCGCTATCGTGGTACTTATCAGACATGAATATAACTTCTTTGATACCTGCCTGGATGATGAGCTTCGCGCATTCGTTACACGGGAACAAGGCCACGTAGATGGTGCAGCCCTTCACGTCGGCCGAGTTCTTGTTCATGATGGCGTTCAGCTCGGCGTGGCACACGTAAGGGTACTTGGTGTCCAGCTTCCGCTCCGCTGTCCTCCTCCAAGGCAGCAGGTCGTCGCTGCACCCGTTGGGCATCCCGTTGTACCCGATGCCCACGATCTTGTTTTCTGCGTTGACGATACAGGCTCCCACCTGGGAATTGGGATCTTTGCTCCTCTGTGCCGACAGGAAGGCCACGGCCATGAAAGTTGTCAATCATTACATTCATTTCCTGGCAGGGCCCAGTACTCAAGAATTGGTTCCCTGTCATCCTCTTTCTGTGCAGTTACTGGCTTCTTTCTCATCTACATGGTGGCCCGACTGGCCATTGGCAGCTCTGGAGCTTTGCTTTTGTAATAGTGCCAGCAGAACTCACTCCCACTGACCTGGCATTGGTCAGTGCCCATTATTGTATCAATCATATGGCCAAGGGATTGTCATGCTTTCCTTGTCCTATATCTGTTTAACTTGGGGTCTGGGGATAGAATCATCTCCACCCAGATCATCCGAATGGAGAATGAGCGAGAGGTGGTTCCTAAAAGGAAGAGATGGGTGCTGGGCCAGCAGAAACAACTGTTCACTTACCAACCTAATTTGTATTCATGTGGAAGGCATCACAGAGATATTCTTAGATACACCAGGATTCAGAAAGTATATCCCTTCTAAAAAATTGCTTGAAGAAATATAACTGAGAAGCAGATCAAAATAACTCCAATATAGAAGATGTGCTGTGAAATAAATGGCAGCAAGCAATAAAACTGTAAAATTTAGAGTCAGTGTACAAATCGCTAGTAACATAATTAGAAATTTAATAAAATAGGAAAAAATTCTTTAGAGAGCTAACCAAAGTGAAATTTATAGGAGTAACCTAGACCCAAAACCTCTGGTTATTCCAATGAAAATCCTCAGATTAGGTTAAGCCAGGAAGGGAGATGGCTGTGAAGTAGGAAAGGGTAAGAGTGACCTGGAACCCACCAGGACAGAGAGGAAACGTGTCTGTCTCCCACCGCTTTCATAAGCCAGCACTAATGGACTTGCAACAGGACCAGAGTTCTGAGAAGCAAAGGCCTGACTGCTGCCCACACCTAGATCAGCTGGCCGTTACACAGCATTTGTAAACTGCAGGAGTAGCGGTTGCTACACTGACCTTTGATTTAAAAGGATCATTGCTCCTTTGCTTTGGCCACCCAAATAGCACAAACATTTCCCTCCGAGCCTACTCTGACCCATAGCCTCATACAGAAGGGAATTCTGTGAAATGTCGCTCCCTCAGTTTAGCTAAGTGGTCACAGTGCAAAGCCATAACAATAATAAAATAAGAGAGAATGAAAGCAAATGCATTGAATAGTTAGCTAAAATATGTACAGAAGAGTAATAAAACCTAATGAAAGGGAAAAAATTAATAAAGACAAAAGTAAAATAATGAACTAGAACATGAAGACTCAATAGACTTAATGAAAAAACCAAAGTGTTTATTTGTGGAAAAGTCAATAAAATAAGAAAATCTTGCCTGGCTGGTGTTGCTCAGTGGTTGAGCATCGACCTGAAGGTCATGGTTCGATTTCTGGTCGGGCACATTCCTGGGTTGAGAGCTCAATCTCTGCTGAGGGGCTTGCAGGAGGCCTCTGATCAATGATTCTCATCATTGATGTTTCTGTCTCTCCCTCTCCTTTCCTATGTGAAGTCAATTAAAAAAAAAAAAAGATAGGGCCTGTTCATTTAAAAAAAAACCTTTATCAGTGCTAATAAATAAGAGAATTCACAAAATGTTGTACATGACAGAAAGAACAAAACCGTAGTAAGCATAATTTCTAAGAAAAGAATAGAAATAAGCAACTGGAAATCCAAATTAAAAACACCAGTTGCAAGAACATTAAAACCTTAAAATAATAAAATGCAAAATCTTTACACTGAAAATTACAAAAGCTTGCTGAGAAGTTCAATACAACTAAAATAATAAGAGAGATGTACCATGTTCATGAATTGGACTTACTATTGTTAAGATTTTAATTGTCCTCCAAATTATCTATAGATTCAGAACAACCCAAATCAAAATCCCAGCAGGCCTTTTTTTTTTTTTTTTTTTTTTTTGGTTGGGAGTGTGGAAGGGTAGAAATTGACAAGATGATTTTAAAATTTATATGGAAATGCAAAAGATCTAGAGTATCCAAAACAATGTTGTAAAATAGGACAAAGTTATAGGACTTAAATTATTTGGTTCCATGAATTTAAAACTATAGTAATCAAGACAATGTGATATTGGTGTGAAGATAGACACACAGATCAATGGAACATATATGGTTCATTGATTTTTCTACAAAGGTGCCAATGTAATTAAATAAAGATAACTTTTTCAGCCCATGGAACTAGAACAATTGCATATTCATATGTAAAAAGAACTAATACTATAAAACTTGTAAAAGAAAACAGAAGGAAATCATTGTGATGTTAGGTTAGGCAGGTTTCTTAGGACACAGAAAGCACAAAGTATACAATAAAAAAATTAAATCACACTTCATAAAAAATTCTTGCTATTTGAAAGGCACCTAAGAAATGAAATACATGCTATAGATTGGGAGAAAGATTTGCAAACCTATCTGTTGTATAAAAAAGTCGTATACCTTAATATCAAGGCAAATACTGAGTAAAAAGTAGATAAAAGATTTGAATAAATACTTCATCAAAATGATATATGAATGGCAAAAAAGCCCATGGAACTTGTATGCATGCATATGAGCAAAACCAATGGACACATACATGTGTGTGTGTGTGTGTGTGTGTGTGTGTGTGCTGGGGGGGGTGGGGGTGGCCGGGGAGTGGTCAATGGGAGAAAAAGGAGACTTATGTAATATTTTAAACAATAAAGAATCTAAATTTTTAAAAAAGCCCATGACAAAATGGTCATCATCATGAGTCATCAGGGATATATAAATTAAAACCACAATGAGCTATCGCTGTGCTCATACTTGAATGGTTAAAGTTAAAAAGTTTGATAATACCAAGTTTTGGCAGGGATGTGAAAACAAAAACTCTCATACATTGCTGACGGGAATGCAAAATGGTACAGTCACTTTAGAAACAGGCAAATTTTTTTTTCTCAGAGGAAGGGAGAAGAGAGAGATAGAAACATCAATGATGAGAGAGATTGATCGACTGCCTTCCGCACGCTCCACACTGGGGACCGAGCCCACAACCAGGGCATATACCCTGACCAGGAATCAAACCATGATGTCCCAGTTCATAGGTCTACACTCAAGCACTGAGCCATGCCGGAAGGGGAACAGTCAAATTCTTACAAATTTAAACATATAGTCCAGTAATCTCACTTCTATTTATCAGAGAAAAATGAGTAATGTGTCCACACATAGACTTGTACACAGAGGTTTATATAGCAGCTTTATTTGTAATAGCCACTGAATTAGTTTCCTGAGGCTGTTGTAACAAATTCCCACAAACTTGGTGGCTTAAAAAAACATAAAATTATTCTCTCACAGTTCTGGAGGCCAGATGTCCAAACAGTTTCACTGTAATGAAATAAAAATGTAGGCATGGCCATGCTCTGTTCAAGGTTCTAGGGGAGAAGCCATTTCTTGCCTCTTCCAGCTTCTTGGAATTCCTTGGCTTTGTGGCTCCATTACTCCAGCATCTTCAAATTTCTCTCTGTTCAATCTTCATATCTCCTCCACTGTGTCAAATCGGTCTACGCCTCTATCTTACAAAGATACATGTGACTGCATGTAAGGCCCACCCTGCAATCGTCTTCCCATCTCAACATCTGTAATTAAATCACATCTACAAAGATGCTTTTTCTTATAAAATAACACAGGTCCCAGGGATTAGTATGAGAGTCTCTTTGGGGAAGCCATTTTTTGAGGGCACCATCGCCCCAACAGGAAATAATCCAAATTTTCTCCTACTGAGGAATGGATAAGCAAATTCTGGCATATCTGTATATTAGAATCCTACTCAATAATAAAAAGGGATAAACTACTGATACATAGATGGATAAATCTCAAAAACATTATGCTGAACAAAAGAAGTCAGATACAAAACACAAATTCTGTCTGGTTCCATTCCTGTGGATTCTAGGAAGCTCTATCACAGTTATAGATAGAAAGCAGACCAGTGGTGGCCTGGGGCGGGGGTGCAAAGAGGGCACAGAGAACTCTTCAGCACAACAGAAAAAGAACTGTAATTTTTGGTGGGAGTTACAAGAGTGTATTAATTTGTTAAAACCTATTGAACTATAAAATTAAAATGGATGAATTTTGAATGTAAAATATACTTCAGTAAACTTATATTAAAAAGGAAAAGACTATCCGCCTAAGAAATTTGAAAATCTAGATGAATTGGTTGAGTTTTAAGAAAAATGTAAAGTCTGAATAGAGCTATAAACAAGAAGTTTGTGAAGAACTTTGTCCTTTTTCCTCTCCTCCCAACTGTACCATCAAGACAGAAGGTAGATCTTCTTGCTGGTGATTTATTTCAAAACAGAGTATCGCAATGCAACTTAAATCACTCTAGTGAATAGGTAAAGGAGGAAATGTTTTAAATTTATTTAATGAAATTTATTCCACTCTAATACAAAAACTATATGGAACAGCACAAAACAGAAAGCTACTGAATAATAGGCTCATGAATAAAACATCAATAACACATTAACAAATCAAGTGCATTCCTAGGTGAAAAGAATAAACACATTGCTAAAATAGGGCTCACTCAGAAATGCAGATTAAGTTTGAGGAACTAAAAAACAAAACAAAACAAATAACACACACACACACACACACACACACACACACACACACACACGTAGAGGTTAATTAACTTTGGACTTTTGCTTCTCTACACTCCCTCTCCAAGTATCCAGGGCAGGTGCTGGTGGTGGTGGGTTTCTGGTGACAGTGCTATTGCTTTCTAGGGTGCAAAGGTGAGTGAAACCCAGTCCCGAAGAGTTATTTGCATTTTTTTAAGTGACTAATTTTTTTTAAGTGATTGAGATGGATTCCTGGTGCCTTGCCTCTTCACCCTAGGACTCTTCCACTCTCACCCCCTCAGCCCCTTGGACTCACATAGACAGGGATCTGGCTTTCTCTCAGTTGCCCTGACTAACAGAGAAGACAATATCCCCATCAGAGATGAGCTCACACCAAAATAAGACCGGCTAGAATCATAGTTATTTCAAATAAAAAATAACACACAAT